TGGAAGAAGGACACAACTCCCCATACTCAGTTCACCCAGGAGGTGACAAACTATACCAAGACATAAAAAGGTCGTTTTGGTGGCCCAACATGAAAAAGGAGATCGCAGATTTCGTGGCCAAGTGCCTGAATTGCCAAAGGGTGAAGGCCGAACGATGCAAACCCAAGGGACTCGTACAACCCCTTGAGATACCACAAGGAAAGTGGGATTCCATATCCATGGACTTCGTCAGAGGATTACCCCCAACAAAGACCGGCAAGGATAAGATTTGGGTCATAGTGGACCGACTAACCAAAACTGCGCGATTCATCGCTATGAAGGAAACGTGGACAATGACGCAATTAGCCCAAGCCTACTTGAGTCGAGTAGTAAAGTACCACGGAGTCCCCCGAAACATCGTATCCGACAGAGACTCCAGGTTCCTATCACAATTCTGGAAATCCCTGCAGCTAGCCTTGGGAACACAACTAAAGCTAAGCACCTCCTTCCACCCCACCACGGACGGCCAGACCGAGAGAACCATTCAAACTCTCGAAGACATGCTAAGAGCCTGTGTGTTAGACTTTCAAGGGACATGGGAGGAACATCTAGACCTCATCGAATTTTCATACAACAACAGCTACCACGCAAGCATTCGTATGGCGCCCTACGAAGCTCTATACGGACAAAAGTGTAGGACCCCCTTATGTTGGGAAGACATGGTCGACCCAATAGCACTAGGTCCCCAACACCTACAAGATACCATCACCAAGACCAAGCACATCCGGGAAAGGATGAAGACTGCCCAGGACCGCCAGAAGTCCTATGCCGATCTAAAGAGGAAACAAGCCGAGTTCAACACCCGGGACAAGGTTTGGTTGAGAATCTCGCCCACACGAGGGGTGATGAGATTCGGAAGAAAAGGGAAGCTCAGCCCACGATTCATCGGCCCCTACGAGATCATAGAAAGAGTTGGGAACCTAGCCTATCGCCTCGCGCTACCCGTTGAACTAGAACGAGTACACAACGTATTCCACGTATCCCGGCTAAAGAAATACGTGCACGACCCGAGACACGTACTTCAACCCGAGGTCGTGGACCTCGACGAGTCACTAGTATACGAAGAAAAACCCGTGAGAATCCTGGACACCAAGACGAGGACCACACGACGTCGAACCATAGAAATGGTGAAAGTTCTCTGGACCAATCATGGGACCGAGGAAGCAACATGGGAACTCAAGGACACGATGAGGGAACGCTACCCCGAACTATTCGCACCAGGTAACTAGGAAGAAGTCACTCGACAAGGACCAAGCTTCGGGGACGAAGCTTCCTGTTAAGGGGGGGGGGGGAGGGTGTAACACCCCGTGTTACGATCCCTAAAATCAATTAAATCATTTAATCAATTACCCAAAAGAAAGAATTAAATCACAATAATTAATTAGGAAAGGCCCACCATAGTCCAGGGGCCCTTATCCCTAAACCCAATCCTTAGTTCCAAAAGAAATAGAATTAGCAAGCCTACAATATTAGTTCCTAACTAGGACTCCTAAATATATAAATAGGGGACTTAAGAGGCACCTAGAACGCCCCCACCACAATAAACGTTCCACCACCCCAAAGAGCTCCAAGAATTCCCTTAGAAGAAATCAAGAAAGCAAGAAAGCTTAAAGAAAGACCCTTCGTAGCCAAGGAATTAATTAAGGCTAAGAGGTAACCCATGTCTCAACAAAACCTATTTTCATAGCTATGATTCCCCTCTTAGGATTTCCCCATATTATTGTGTATTGATGATTTGTGATATTATTATTGATGATTGGTGGGATGATTTCCATGGGTGATCTTGATGATGAAAGGTTCTTGATAATTATGGTGTTCTTGATGATTATATGACGTTCTTGATAATTATATGGTGTTCTTGATGTTCTTAATGATTATATGAGGTTCTTGATAGTTATAGGATATTCCTATCGAATCTTGATTTTGGAAGATGAATCGTGTTCTTGTTGATTTAAAAATAATTAGAACCCTAGGTTATATCGTGGAATTCGTATGGTATTATTCTTGGTATATTGGGTGGGATTTCGCATGATTGGGTGTTTATTATGTTTAGAAAAGCATGATAGGTTATGTGCCGTTTGTTTCTTGATTTTGATCCGTTAATTGTCTACGTGTGTTATCAATTGCGTTTGAAAGTGTCTAAGCATGGTTTCGGGTTCCACAAAGGTTCCCGGGGCGTTTTTGGTGAAAAAGAGTCAGTGGGGGGTAGGTGGGGGTAGGGGACCCGCCACCTACCCGCGGCCAAAAAGTGGAGCAGGCAGCCGGCGGGCAGGCAGCTGCCCGCCGGGCACCCGCTGCCCGGAACAGTACATACCGGCGGGCAGCCGGCGGGTGATCCCCCACCCACCGGCTACCCGCTGGAAATTCCCACTCTTCGGGATCCCGGCTTCCCCGTTTTATGTTCCCCCGACCCCCGTGGTGTCCCAACAGACTCCGTCTATCGTGCCTATGTCTAGTTTGATTTTCGGGTACCGTTCGTAGGTCGTATGAGTCTTGTATATTGCATGTTAGTCGAATTGGTATCACGTTGACCTAGGTGAAAGAAGTATGAACCCCTTAGGACTATTCTTAGCATGTGAAGGATCACGCATAGGTTTTGTTATACGTTTTCTCCCCCTTCCCAATGTGTTAATGTGGGTTGCATGTGCTTGCTATATGTTATGTGTGCATGTTACCCCGACTTGGTTGAAGATCAATCGGGCTATACGGGCAGTCGGGTGGGCTGAGAACCATACCGGCTGTTAACCAGGCTGGTAGAGACCGGTCAGGTATATAAATATTATATAGGACTAAGATCCACTATACGGGCAATTGAATGGGTTGAGAACCATCCCAACTGTTAACCAGGCTGGTAGAGACCGGTCAGGTATATAAATATTATATAGGACAAAGGTCCACTATACGGGCAGTTGAATGGGTTGAGAACCATCCCAACTGTTAACCAGGATGGTAAAGACCGGTCAGGTATATAAATATTATATAGAGCTGCGGCTCATCGGTCGGTTGCGATCGACCCCTCCGTGCTGTGAGACGGGGCAGGGTGCTGCGGGGCCGTGTCAGAGCTATATGCGCTGACCCTCATGTATGGGCATGCGATTGGTCCTGTGGCGCCAACAAAGTGTGCTATGTGATGAAGTATGGATGAGTTGTTGTTATGAGTATCTTGGGAATGAGACTATGAGATTTGTACCAGGGATCGTATATGTTGGGTTATGATTATTAATTGTGCTTATCTTATCTGTCTTGCCTGTTGTAAACTGTATATGCTTGGTATAGTTGCTGTCCGTGCTTAGCCCTATCTGTTGAGTCTATCCCTGTTTTAAAAGCTAGAGTTCGTAGGATATATCTTCATGTTCAAAATGACTTTTCGTATATCTATATATATATATATACATATATATATATATATATATATATATGTATTGTATTTCAACGCGTTGGAGTGGGTTACCAGCATCTCTCGCTGAACAGATATATTTGGCTTTCAGGCACAGAAGAGTAGGTCACTGGAGCGCGCTAGAACTTGGAACGTAGAAGTAGATAGCTTCCCTTTCGGCCTGCGTGCCATGTTTATGCGTTACATTATTGAGGATATTAGTTAGTTAGCCTGTGCACCTGAGTTCTCTAGCTCAGGTGTGGCATAGCACCCCGTACTCTTGTATTATGTTTTGGGATTTAATGAGATTTCACCTTTATTTTATAAGTTTTAAATATCTTGAAAATCTGGGGTGTTACAACCAATCCTCTATTTGACATGTTCTCGCCACATAAGTCTGCCAAACTGATTTGGGACTTAATGCAAGAGAAATATGGCGCTGATAATGTTGGAAGGCGAAAGTATGTTGTGGGTCACTGGTTGCACTTCACAATGACGGATGCTAAATCAATCACTGAACAGGTACATGACTTTGAAAACCTGGTTGCTGACACGAAAGCAGAAGGGGGTGAAGTGAATGATGTCATCCTGTGAGATTCGCTGGTTGATAAGCTGCCCGATTCATGGGTGGACTTAAAAAATAAAATGAAGCATGATCGGCGCAATTACACCTTGCAACAGTTAATCAACAGCCTCAACATTGAATAAGAAAACCGTCTGGTGCAAATGTCAGGTGTTCTTTCTGATAATATTAAAGCTAATGTAGTTGAAACAAATGTTGGTTCTGATAAGCCAATGACTGGTGCGAGTTCTAGAAGCAAATAACGGAACTCAAAACCAAATGGCAACAATCGTTTCAAAAATGGGAAAATTCAGAAAAAAGAGAAAAAAATAATAACGAATGTTACGTTTGTGGAAAACGAGGCCACTGTGCTGCACACTGTTATCACAGGAAATGATCCACAAGCCAGACTGGTCAGAAGCCAAATAATGAAGGGCCAAAGAACCAGGCTCACTTGCTGAAAAATACGGAGAACACAGACATTGTAGCAGCTGTGATAACCGAGGTAAATATGGTGGGTGATCTAGACGAATGGGTTGTGGACACCGGGGTATCTCGCCACTTCTGCAACAACAAGGACTTGTTTAAGGTGCTTGAGCCCAACACTGGAGAAAAATAAGTATTCATGGGAAACTCCAGCATCTCTAAGGTAAGTGGTAGAGGAAAAATAGAGTTAATGCTTTATTTTGGGAAGCTTCTATTATTGCAAAATGTGCTATATGTCCCTTCCCTCCGTAGAAACCTGATTTCTGGAGGCCTACTCAATAAAGCTAGAATAAAAATGGTTTTTGAGTCTGACCGACTGGTTCTGACTCACTGTGGGAAATATTTGGGAAAGGGATATCTGCGTGGAAGCATTTTTGTGTTAGATGCTTCTGTAGCTAGAAATCATACTGCTGTAGATGGTTCCAATTCAACTATTTGTGATTTCATTCCAAACAATGCTAATAATAAAGCTTCATCTTCTGCTTACATTGTTGTTTCAATAAATCTCTAGCATGATAGATTAAGCCATGTTGGTACAAAGTGCTTAAATAGACTAAAAAAACATGAATATGTTGCCAGAATTGTCTAATGATGCATGCACACAATGTGAAACTTGCGATGAAGCTAAGTATGCTAGAAATTCCTTTTTCTACAGTGAATAGTCGAACTTCATCTATTTTAGAACTTATTCACACTGACTTAGCAGACTTCAAAACCACTGAAAGTAGAGGTGGAAAACGTTACTACATTACGTTTATTGATGACTTCTCACGTTTCACAAAACTTTATTTATTAAGATCAAAAGACGAAGCCGAACAGAAATTTGTGGTTTTTAAAAATGAAGTAGAATACCAGTTAGACAAAAAGATTAAAAGGCTTCGATCCGACAGAGGAGGAGAATATGAGTCAAACACACTTAAAAGTCTGTGTGAAAATTATGGCATTATTCATGAAGTAACAGCACCATATACTCCCCAACAAAATGGCATTGCTGCGAGTAAAAATAGAACTATCAAAGAAATGATTAATGCAATGCTGATCAGTTCAGGTGCTCCGGAATCTTTGTGGGGGGGGGGGGGGAAGCTGCACTAATAGCAAACCACATTTTAAATAGAGTACCGCACAAAGGGTTTGAAAAAACCCCCTATGAACTATGGAAGGGCCATACCCCCAATCTTAACTACTTTAAGGTATGGGGCTGCTTGGCAAAAGTAGGACTACCGTCCTTCAAGAGGCCCAATCTGGGACCTAAAACTCTGGATGCCATCTTTGTTGGGTATGCTGAGAATAGTGCTGCATATAGATTCATGTATTTAGAAAATTGTGCAATGTGTGAATCTAGAGATGCCATTTTCTTTGAAACTATATTTCCTATGAAAAAGGCTTATACTTCACCTGATGTTAGCCTACACCAAAATTCTCCTACTATTTTTCCTAGTTCCACAAGTAACTCTGAGGAGCCTAGAAGAAGCAAAAGGCCTAGAACAGAGAAAAACTTTTGTTCTAATTTCATAACCTATATGACAGAACTGAAAGATCTGAATGAACTTTGTGATCAATTCATATGTCAACTAGTCCTAGAAGAAGAACCAAAAACCTTCCAAGAAGCTATGCGCTCGGTAGATTCCACACTGTGGAAAGAAGCTGTTAAGAGTGAATTAGACTCTATCCAATCTAACCACACTTGGGAATTGGTTAATCTGCCAAAGGGCTGTAAACCAATTGGGTGTAAATGGATCTTTAAAAAAAATTGAGACCAAATGGTTCAATTGAAAGATTCAAGGCCAGGCTAGTAGCCAAAGGCTACGCTCAAAAATTCGGTGAAGACTACTTCTATACATACTCACCAGTAACAAAGATAGCAACCATTCGTGTTCTTTTTGCTTTGACATCTTTACACAGGTTGATAGTTCACCAAATGGATGTTAAAACCGCATTCCTCAATGAGAAGAAATCTACATGCAACAACCTCCCGGGTGTGTTGATCCAGGTCAAGAGGGGAAAGTATGTAGACTTAAGAGATCTCTATATGGCTTGAAACAAACTCCTAAATAGTGGTATGAAAAATTTCATAAAACTCTATTAGACCTGGGTTATTCTACTAACCGGTCAGATGCCTGCCTATACACTAAAGAGATAGATCCCGCAGGGACCAGGGTTCCAAACTCAACGTGGCAACTAAACACGAGGGTTGCGCTCGTTGCGGGACTTAACCCAACACCTTACGGCATGAGCTGACGACAGCCATGCACCACCTGTGTCCGCGTTCCCGAAGGCACCCCTCTCTTTCAAGAGGATTCGCGGCATGTCAAGCCCTAGTAAGGTTCTTCGCTTTGCATCGAATTAAACCACATGCTCCACCGCTTGTGCGGGCCCCCGTCAATTCCTTTGAGTTTCATTCGTGCGAACGTACTCCCCAGGCGGGATACTTAACGCGTTAGCTGCAGCACTGCACGGGTCGATAGTCTAGCATTGTGATTATCTGTTTCTATGTAGATGATATGTTAATTTTTAGCTCCAATATTAAGGATATAAATGCGACCAAAAGAACTCTCTGTGACAACTTTGACATGAAGGATCTAGGGGAAGCTGATGTAATACTTGGGATAAAAGTCACAAAAACTAAGACAGGTTATCTTTTATCTCAAAGTCATTACACGGAGAAACTTCTAAAGAAGTTTGCGAGTTATGATGTAACTCCGGCAATGACCACTTTCGATCCTAGTGTAAAACTGTCAAAGAACGTAGAGGCTGGTGTGTAACAAGAAGAGTATGCAAAGATAATCGGAAGTCGAGTGTTCCTTATGAACTATACTAGACCCGATATTGCATACGCAGTAAACAAGCTCAGTTGCTACACACACAACCCTATTGCTTCACATTGGGATGCACTGAAAAGAGTACTTCGATACCTGAGAGGCACAATAGACTGGGGTCTTGACTATAAAGGGTCCCCAACTGTACTAGAAGGGTATTGTGATGCGAATTGGGTGAATGGTAGCGATGATGCAAGCTCAACTAGTGGATACGTATTCACTATGTGTGGAGCTACTATATCATGGAAGTCAACTAAACAATCATGCATTGCCAGATCAACTATGAAAGCTGAGTTCATAGCTCTAGATCTGGAAAGCCAAGAAGTCGATTGGCTGAGAAACCTACTGGTAGACATGTCATTGTGGGGGTGTCCAACATCTGTTGTTCCTATTCGTTGTGATTCACAAACTGCCATCTGTGTTGCGCAAAATAGTGTCTACAATGGCAAGAGAATACACATAAGACTTAGACATGAGTCTGTACGACAGTTGATACTAAATGGGGTGATCACAATGGAGTTTGTGAGATCTGAAAAGAACATTGCAGATCCATTCACAAAAGGTCTAAATCGAAAGGCCGTCTTTGATACTTCAAGGGAGATGGGATTAAAACCCAATGAGGTAAGAAATTCGTGATGGATACCACCTTGGTGGTCAAACGAAGTCACGGAAAGACTTACATTAAAAGGGACTGTAGAAAACAGTGCCTACTCTGAAGCCTGCTATGGGTAGTCTATATTGAGATAGACTTGACAGAGTGAAATGTCTATGTTGAGATAGACTAAACAGGGATTCTTCAAGGCTAATGAGTGCTTTTAAGTTCAAAACTCAACTAACCGAGGAGTTCAAGATACAATTCACTCACCGGTAACAAGTTACTTAATATCACTACATGTCAGTTCAAGTATAATACACTGATATGGAAATTAGCTCATGTGCAGACTCAAGCATTAGTGGGTCTAGCCTTGCCACCTTAAATGTGTGGGGAATTGTTGGGAACATTTAATGAGGCATTCATTGAGTTTGTCTCCATCTAGTTGTCCCACATTGCTTGGCTAACCCAACATTTCTCACCTTTTATACTCCAAGCCTTTTTAGAAGGTTTGAAATGTTATGGAGAGGGAATAAGGAGAAATCTCGAGCGGGCGCCACTACCCGCCCGCTCAGTTCGGTTCGCACGCGAGTCGCGGTGTGGTGGGGTCAGAATTTTGCTCTCGCCTTATTCTTTTAACCCCTATTTTTGTGGGTCTTTTGACCACCTTGTCCGCACTATGTTCATCATTGCGTGAACATGCGTACAGCTTCCCATTTTCTGTCCATATTTCTTGCTTCTTTGCATGGCTGACAAGCGATGGACCCTGTTATAGTTTATACTATATAACCTGGCTTCCCATTTCGATACGGAGATGCCAATTTCATCTTTTGCCTGAGTTCGTTAAGCAGAAATACTGCAAATATCTGTGAGTCCTGTCGGGAGCATGCAATACCCTGGTCACAATTGCTTTTAAGGCAGTGTCAACACGACACAGATATTAGTTTATACTCCTCCTAGTTACAAACTAGGAGTTAATACCATCTAAGGTCCTCCGAGTATAGTGGTTTTGCCACGTTTCGTCCTAAACTTTCAAATTAACCATCTGTGGTCCTTCGATTTTCAAATTTAACCATTCGTGGTCCAAGTTAACCACCCATGGTCCTTCAACTATTAAATTTTAACCAACCATGGTCCTTTCAAGAGGACCACGGCTGGTTAAATTTTGAAAGTTGAAGGACCATGGGTGGTTAACTCGGACCACGAATGGCTAAATTTGAAAGTCGAATGACCACAGATGGTCAATTTGAAAGTTTAGGACTTAACGTGGCAAGACCACTATACTCGGAGGACTTCATGCGGCATTAACTCTACAAACTAGCCAAATCAACTAGAAGCATAAAGCATTCGACATTGCTGTTTTCACATCACCTTCGGGTTTTCTACTTTTGATAAAAAACACAACAATACATACTGTCAAAGACCAAAGTATCCAAAAGCAAGAGAACCAGCTGCTAAAGTTCTAAACTGGAAGAGGCAAATTTAACAGCAAAAAAGTTGCGCTTTCCACAGTATAATAAAAAGACTTACACATAATTACATCATTGCTACAAGGTTATTCAATTTGAATTCGGTTTTTACTATTTCCACCAAACTTGGTTTTCATTTGAGACCTTGTCCTATACTTCCTCTATGGAGCAGTACCAGATTTCTTAGCAACCATCTTCACTTTTTTTGTTAGCTCAGGTGTCTTTCAAAGCTTTTTGGGAGGGGGAGGTGCTTCAAACATGTTATGGCCTTCAGGTTGAATTCCTTCACCAGCTGCAGGTTCAATGCTTTCATATTGTATAGACATGTTATAGGCTTCACCATCTCCAAAGTCAAATTTTGTGGGTAATGGTATCTCATCTGGTGCAGTTTAAATGACCTAAAAAAATATAATAAGCAAAGTTCCAAATATAACCACAACCTCATTCAAATAAGAAAAATATTAAGTAAATAGGATAAATAAATAAGAGATGGACAAGCTCAACCTCAATAGGCTCAACATCGACATTCAATTCCCTTTCATCAGCAAGTTCTGACCTCTGAACTTGAACTGGAACCTATTTTACATGTATAAGAGGTAAGCTTAGGCCTTATAAATAACCTTTGAGGTGATATGGAAGTGGTCATCAGTGGCCAATCTCTCCTTGAACTCACTGACTTTCCGAGTTGAATTGCTACCTATGTCTTTTTTCCACCTCTTAGCTAGTATGCTAGACTTTACACTTGAATTCTCCCACACCCAAGAGCAGCCATCATGAGTGTCTCTGAATGCAGTAACCCTCCAACAGTTCACTTCCTTAATCCATCTTAGGGTTATTGACCATGGACATCCAATTTGTTTACACTTGACGATACATCTTACTTTGACATTCTTTTCAAACCTATATCTTTCCCTTCTTTGAATGCATAACTCACCATGACACATAGAATACTACGCTCTCACATCCCCAAAACCAGTACCAATCATGCATCTTCAAAGTCTAAGCAAATAGGTGTCCTCCGTATAAGCTCAGTATCCCTATTATTAAATATATCCGTCAAAATCTCTAAATCCAAACCAAAACCATCAGTCCTCATCAAATTTGCTACTATCACATTATTTAAAGGTGGAGGCACTTCAGTTATGATCCTTGGGTTTTCCTTGTTTGGCAGCCACGTTTATTCCCAAATAGTGGTTAAACCATTACCAATATGTCGTCTAACCCCCATCTTGATTAAACCATGTGCAGTAAAAATGCTCCTCCAATAGTAGCTAGGATTATGACCAAGCAAGCGAGGTTTCCAAAAATGAGGAGTTAGGGTAATACATGGCCTTATAAATTCTAGCAACCAATGAGTCTAGGTTAGTCATGAAATGCCACCTCTGCTTCCAAAGGAGTGCCAAATTAAAAGAGTGCATCTTTTTAAACCCTAGTTCCCCAAACTTCTTAGGCGCCCACATCTTGTTCCAAGCAAACCAATGAATGCCCCTTCTCCCATCCGCGTTACCCCACCAGTACCTATTCATACAATGCTTCAGATTCTCGCACAAATAAGCTAGAAGCAGGAACACACTCATAGTGAACGTGGGCATAGCTTGCACAACACTTTTCAACAAAATTTCCTTCCCCGCCTGTGACAATAACCGCTTATTCTAGGAACGAATTTTTATCTCACCTTTTGCTTAATATACGAGAATACCAACCTCCTATTATAGTCTGCCACTGAAGGGAGTCTTAGATATTTCCCAAAATCCGGCGCCTCAGTAACATTAAGCAGGCCTACTACTGCTTCTTTGTCATCCACCAAAATATTACAGCTAAACACAATACTGGACTTATGATAGTTAACCACTTTCACTGGCATAGCTTCATAAGCCGAGAGATGTCGCTTTATTTCCAAAACCTCGACCACATTCACGTTGCAACATCAGGGTCAGGCCCTCTGCACAAATGATAAAAAGATAAGGGGATAAGGGGTAACTCTGTCTGAGCCCACGAGATGGGGAACCAATCCCCTTGAGCTACCATTAACCAAAATATTATATTTAACCATGGTAAGGCACAACATCACCTTATCAAACCATCCTCTAGCAAATTCCATCCCTAGCATCATCTTTTCTAAAAAAAGCCCATTCCATCTAGTCATATACCTTCGCCATGTCCAGCTTCAAAGCCGCCCAACCGAAAAGAATGTTCTAATACAATAAAATAAATTTGAGGTTATTAACTGATAAACTAAACAAATCTAAATCCAAATAGCCAACTAACTAACTAATAAATGTTAATATTAAGGGTCACACTTGTGTGAGACCGTCTCACGGATCCTTATCCGTGACACGGGTCGGATCGATATGCAAATGTAATACTTATGCTAGCAAATGTAATGCTATTTAGGAATAAAGTGTTTGTTACTTATAAGAGAAATTGTAATACTTTTGACAACAAATGTAATACTTTTACATTTCGATGTAAAAGTATTACAAGTGTTTGTTACTTACAAGGGAAAATATAATACTTTTGTTGAAAAAAGTAATACTTTTACATCAAAATGTAAAAGTATTACATTTTACTTCAAAAGAAATTCATTTT